AACGCTGACTGTAACAGGAAGCTTAGATTCTTCTCACGTAGATATTGAGAATTTGTAAACGTTATAATATTCATGTAAACTAGATATTCACTGTGGCAACAGCAACGTTAATAATATGATGCATTATCATTAATGTATATTTTATAAAAGATCATAATCTATAGTTACTCAAGTGCTAAACGTAAAATGTAACGTGTTGATGTTTTGGAAGAGACAGAGTTAACACTATTAGGCTCTTGTACGATATAAAGGACTGAGAATGTGTTAAATACTGTGATGTTACATCACTCTATTTTTGGAACAATAAGTATCGTGAATACCATCGTGGACGTTTTCAATACGATGATATACTTGTAAGCTCTTTGATCTCTAAATGAGTAACACGACTGCAGGCTTAAACGGGGTTCGTCTGTAACAAGGATATTGTTTCACAGATCGTTGATCCACTAAACGTGTTCCTGTCTTCATTGTAAACGAGATGTTTTGTGCCATGCTATGAATAAAACACATCTACTGAATATCTGGCTAACAGATATATAAAGAAAGGCAAAGATATTGCAATGTTCGAAAGAGGTATGGTAGTGGGTGTACTTCCACTTGGTGCCACAGGAGTCATGGATAGGGTGATCCAAGATATCGGACATTCGAGTTTGTCAGCAATGGAGAAAGATGAATAAAATGTCTGCTTCGAAGGGAAGTTGTGGCCAGAAACACGTATTAACAGAAAGAAAAGAAAGGCAGTTTGACAGGATGGTAAAGTCCAATCATCATCAAATAATACACCAACTGACATTCAGTGAGTAGCAATCCACACCCATCTCCAGCCGTAGTTTGTGAAGAACGTTGCAACAAATGAATTATGGGAGGAGACCATTGCTTAAACCACTAGATTTAATTACCAACAAGAAAAACTCCTTGAGTGTTGTAGAGAGTATAGACATTAAACTAATAAGGACCACATCACCTTTGCCATCTTGGCACAAGTGGGAAGAGACAGGTTTAAACAAAAAGCCACAAGAATAACTAATACCTCTTTTTCGGTCCTAACTGTCCCTGGCTCTATTGGTGGAGTCATGGTTTGAGGCATGTTTTTCTGTTATACACTGAGCCTTTTTGTTCTTTTAGAAGGTAGAACGAATGCCACAGCTTACCTCAGTATTATTCTGATCTAATGCATCCAGCGACGCTGAATGTGTACCCTGATCGTGACAGTTACTTCCAAAACGACAATGCTTCCACCTATCTTGCCAAAATTGTGGTTATATGTTTTGAAAAGCATGACAGAGACGCCAAACATCTTCCATGTCCATCACAGCTCTCGTATCTATATCCAACTAGGCTCTGGATACAACTGTGGTAATTAACTGTGTGACGAACATTTGTATATACATATGACTTGTTTTAATATATTATTTTAAAACAAGTGGACTGTGTGCTGTTTATTTATTGTTGGAATTTATCTCCAACTAGTCACAGACATCTACTGTAAAAAATTCTTCCCATCCATATATATAAACCTGACACACACACACTCAAACGAAATTCAACAACATTCAGGGTATATGTGATGTGTAAAGCCTTTTGTTTGTTTTTTTGATACGAGGGATGCAGTAATCGCAAATTTGTTAAAAGCATGATGTTCATAAAAATAGATCTGACCTTTTATAGACAACTGGTCTATTAAATATTAGAAAGAGCTATGTTTTCTCAATTCACACACGTTTTTTAAGTTGTATTTCACCCGATGATGTCAGTTAAATCTGGTGAAATGGTGTGAATAAAATAAAGAAAAGGCTTACTATGCACTACCGATAACAATTGGTTTATATGGTATAAGCATTTCAAAATTTTATCGCGCTATTCCTTAACTCTACTAACACAACTGATAACTTTTAAAACACCGTTGTTAAACAAAATGGTATATGCATAAGGATATTTTATGAAAAACGATAAAGTTTTGTCTTTGTTGTTTTATTTGACATTATACGTTTTTGTTTTATGTTTAGTGCTACGGGTATTATTTTACAATGTCACTGTTCCCCTCACGGCTCAGCTATTCTCTTTAAGAGCTTATATCCTAGAATTTGGGGTTCGAAGGACACAGCGTATACAGATAAAACAAAAAATTCACAATTTTTATTGAACATCCTCAGTTCTCAAACTCTTGGAGTATAAGTGTAAGAGTTTAGGATTTATTATATTTCTTTCTTTATATGTGATAAGCTGAGGTACCCATCCTTTGTCCGAGTTATGAACTTAAAAAATAGGAGTGGGATTTGCTATGGTAAATAACACAAAAATGCTAACTTTCACACAACTTATTTATAACATAACATATTATTACAGTATTCATTATTACCTCACCAAAGTTTTGTACGTGTTTTAAGAATTCAATATGTATATAGTTAAAACATGGTATACATTGTGCGATGGTCAGGGTGACTTTGTATGAAGAGGTAGATAAAAAGTAGTGGCGACAGGGATGCTTTCTGTTACCCGTTTTCAACACCGATGGGTATTAATGTTCTTCCACATTGTTTCACGTGATTAATTAATTGATGTTCATTGGCCGCAAAAGTGTCTTACGGGCCAAACTAGAAAGGTCACGGGCCAAAGCAAAATGTGGGTTTATCTAAAGCAATGGCTCTTTATATCAGCCTTATTGTGGCTGTTGGAATATAAACTTAAGCTGAGTTTATGTATTATTACAATAGTGGCAATCATTTTATTTAATTACATTTCTCCTGAGATATATAAGATGTTTGTGTGCCTTCCCCCACACTGTGTTATGGAAAATGTAATAAAGGTTAAAATCATAAATAATATTCAACGTTAAACTGGTACACAATCAAAAACATTTTATTTAGGCCTATCTATGGCCTTCAAAAAGTTGACGACTCTACATGTTTCGACGTTACAACTTTTTGAAGGATATAGATAGGCCCAAATAAAATGTTTTGATTGTGTACCAGTTTAACGTTGAATATTATTTATGATTTTAACTTTATACATAAGTGCCAAATACTATAATTATGTAATAAGGTGTTTCGTGTATACGTGGCACCATCTATGGATTTAACTAACGTTAACTTACATCAAAGATAATAAATCCTCAATAACAGCAACAATGGGATGGAGGGGTTGTAAACGCCCCAATAACAGGCTTTTGTTCAAAAATATCATCCCACAAAGTTTGGTTCAGATTGGCCCAACGACCTAGGAGTAGTTAGATAATGGACAAACAGACAGACGCACGTTTTTTTTCGTACTTTATATATATAAAAAAGGACCACTTACGTCCAATAATAAAAATTTTGTCTAAGATATTATTATAGAACAATAATACATTGATTATAAACTCTTACGAAACCATTGTGATGCCAGCACGAGATTCAAAAGACAATCAAATCACGTCATATTCACGGTAGCATAGGACAACTGATTTACTAGTTGATGATAGTAACTAGTAGTACAGATGAGTGTAAGTATATGGTGGAGGTTATTGAAATTAATATTATCTTCTGATATCTGTTTAGCTTCATTAAGTCGGATCAGGTTGAACAACATTTAAGACAAGTTTAGTTGATCACTTACATCGGTTTGAAACTATTTTAAAGTGCGATATTATGTATACTGATACAATGCTTAATTTTGCAGTTGTATTCATGTGTTATGGAGTTATCAACACATTTATTTCCGAAAGGATAAGACTACTTCCAATTCATATCTTCAAACTCGAGTAATTTATTATGGATCTAATTACTGGATAAAAATATGTGTACATATATATCTTTTCTTACCTGTTCTTGCATTTTTAACAAAGCCGCGGGCATATTTGTCCTGAGGTAGAACCTACAGGAGGAAAGCTTCGTTCAGATATACAACAGATGTTTATCTTTGATGATTTAGTAACAGACCTTTCTTGGTGAAAGAGAACTGTTGTACAGGAGCTTCTGTTTCACTTGGTTACAGCGCAATTTCTTCTTCATTCGGTTTCTATGCTGCTTCTACTTCACTCGGTTGCTACAACATGTCTTGTTAGTCGATTCCATACAAACTACTTTACAGAGAAGTGTTGAACGTACGCTCGCTGAAAATACTATGTTCTAGATAAAGAAAACCATACACGTGACTATAAATGAATAAGAACCATTATTTTAAGTATTTGACATTGAAGGTACTCTCAATTTCTCCCATGAGAAGTTAAGGAAAAAAAAAATATTGGGAATCGCTTTTTGTTCGAATAGCGTATTCTAGCGTGATGACAGCGCCACAGTGTTACTTAGATTGGCAGGTTTCCAATAATCAGGTAATCGTGATAGAAGTGATCATTCTTGTCTTGTGTATAACAGGAGAATATATTCCATGGAGAGAGAGAGAGAGAGAAAGAATGGAATCTCTATTGTTCTTTTCATTGTTATAGTTGAACGCGTTTATAGACACCTAAAACTTGGCAACTGCATTTCCTGTTTCATTTTTAATGACAGTAATTAAATAGACGTTTTCATAGAAAATTCTGATTTCCTCATCTTTTACCCTGAAAGAGAATAAAAACATTGCCGTTTTATTTCTTTAAATAAAAACCGAAATTACCAAACAGTACTGTTGTGTACAAATATGTCTTTGTTAGATGTAACGTTATTTTGATGGTCTTCGCTGTTATACGGCAATTTCAATTCAGAATCTTTTTTGGAACTTACAACCGAGCAAAGCCTAATTACGATTATCAGAAAAGTCTCGAGAAACTTTGTTATACAATAACGCAGGTATAGGAACAGGCGTATTTCTGACAAACGTGGCTCAATTACGGCTTTGCTGCAGACGCCCATGTTACTTAAGTGTTAATAAGGCAGATATGACAAGTATAAAGTTCATTTAAAAAGGTTCATAAAGCTAGTATATTTTGTTCAGCTATAATACTTTGGAATTTTGTAATAACTTGTTGCTTCGATTTCAGGCACTGAATTACTTGAGATAGGCCTAGCTATTTATGTCATCATCTGTCATGAACAACGGTTGTTACGGTATAAACCTGATTTAGTAAGTGAATTGTAATTATTATCTATTTTGTTTAAGCCATTTATAAATCAGATTTATGTCGAGTAACCACAGCAGCAGCGGGAGAAAAACGCATTAATAATTTTAAGGATTTATGAGTAAAAGTAAAGAAAAATGTGTTTTAGTATGCTAACCACATTACATCTGTTTTATCCAATGTTGACAAAGCATTTCGCCCAATACCAGGGCTCATCACGCGAATTGGAATAAGGGAGACATAGTATTGGTCTAGGTGCTATTTATATCTTTAATTTTCATGAACTACTAAGGCATACTTAGGGTATCAATAAACATTATGGAATGTTGAAATCACTGTTAGGTCAGTGTCCTTTAATTGAACAATGGAGATTGCAGGCTCGGCCTAAGTGCATCCGAAATTGGGGGCCCTCATATTTCAAGAGCCCCCAATTTCATATAATGAATATATCGAAATTTAAGTCATAAATTGCAAGATAATGCCGAAGGCCGTAGTTTGTTCTCTGGCTTTGATTATTAAACACATGTGGACATTATTAGTTTCTGTTTAAAGGACGATCTTTGTTCATTGAGTCAAGATCGTTAAATCGTATAACCAGAGCTCGCTATTTTACGATAATCAAAAATAGGTGTTTTTTGTTGTTATTTTTTCGTTTGACGTAGCATTCTACAATTTTCCACTAGAATGTTTTAGAATAGTTAGACTAGACTATTTTATACCGATGGAACCTTTCAGAATTTTCTAAAATATTATACGCATACATATAAATAGCTGTTCTATTTCATTCGCTCATCCGTTTATTAATCATTTTAATTGGTATTAATTTCTCGTTCGATAATTGTATTCTACTTAGTAACTTTCTTTCTGTGATAATGTGATTTGCATTTAATCTGCATAATATTGAAATCATGAAATACATGGCGCATTGTTCCAGCTTCATAGCTCGATATGGTAATTTTCATTTCTTTAAAAGTCTGGAATAATCATTTTGTCATTTTACACTTTTATTAATATGTTATCAAGATACTGTCTAATATTTAAATATATTTCCTTAAAGTTGGTGCCAAGGGAAGTCAGGTGCTGAAAAACGAAAATAGAAAATAGATTTAAGAAAAGAAAGGATGTCAGACAAACAACCAAAGGTATAAAATTAAGATGATCAAGACCATGTGCTTCCCTCTGTAGAAGAAGATGTTGAATCACAACGACAGATACTCAATTACTGACTGAGCAAATAGAATCGCCTTATCAGAATATATTAATGAATGCAGAAAGTTTTTTTTTTTAAGAAAACCCGAAAAGAAACTTCCAGGATATTTCAACTTGTCAAAAGATGATAACGATAGAAGACTCACACATGGCAGCTTTTACTGAATATTGAAGAATTTGGAGAGAACTTATAGATCCTGGTTGGTGTATTAGAAAAATAAAATGTGTACTGTTTCTTCTGCAAATTACACACATAAACCAAATTCAAACTGAAAATCAAAGCCATAATAGCACAGTAGATGACAATTCTCAAAAAGTAAAGGAAATGGAGAAGATTCATTGGCGAGCTGTATTGGAGCGCATAACTGCCTCAATCCAAAATATAATAGAAAGAATTATGGCATTTCGTGATTTAGAAAATGAACTGTTCGAGCCTCAAAATAGTAACTTTCTGTGACCAATTAAGCTCTTGGCAGATCTAATTTGATACTATTATGGTCAAATACTTAAGCTGGATAATTTTAAAAGAGATTACTATAGAATAGTAATCAAAGCCAAAGGAACGGGCTTTGAAAAATCAGCGTGGAAAAACCTGTGAAGGTTGCAGGAAGAAGCTGCTGGCTAACTTTAGAAAAAGATAGTTGGAGTTTCTCGGACACGTTATAATGAAAGAAACAACTGAAAGTCTGATCGTAACTAGAAAGATTGAAGGAAGGAGGGACTGTGAAAGACAGAGGTTGACTTATGTCAAGAGTCTTATGTAAATGGATAAATGTATCGACATTGGAAGTAATTTGTGCCTCAAGGACAAGATACTTGTGGAAGACCATGGTCACCAAAATCCTGTTTGGATATGGTGTATATATATATAGAATGAGAGAGAGGTATCACTACCTTGAGTAAGACATACAAAATTAGATTACCCAACTACTACGTGATTCAACTAATGGCCTTATCAAAAGTTACACATGAGGGTAATGTGTTAGTCAATTAAACAAGGTTGTATTTTTGACACTAGTGTGTTGAACAACTCCACGCGTTTCGAGAATTGTCAATCTTATAGACAAAATTAGAATCGTTGGGCACTTCTTGGGTTTTCTTAAGGTAAATGACTCAGGTTTGACAGACGCAATCCTAGCTATTCTTAATTATCATGGATTGCAAAACTGCAGATAAGAAGAATACGGTAATCACAGAGATGTGAAGAGAAAACAAAATGGATGCGGTCCAAAATGAACCAGCTCAGTCTTCGCGCATTCTTGTTGACACGTGGATTTCAAGGGCTGAACTTAGATATTTGTGATGCAGCTCATTATTCGCAGGATGCCATGTGTTGCTTGGGATATTTACAAAGAATATTTGATTTCTGATCTGTTGTTAAGAATTTATTGCAATACACGATGTAAGTACAAAGTTGAAACACAAAAGTACTACGACTTCATTCAGACAAAGTTTACAAAGCATTTATGGAAATGAAAGAAAATACTAGCAAGATCGGAATGTATAACTCGTCATTGTCTTAGAAATGATAAGAATTACAACTATTTTTGGTCAGATGATCATTACGAAAATTTGAAAGAAAACCAACTTTATATATTATTTCGTGGTAAAGTAACGTATACACTTTCTACTATTAATAGAATAAAATTCTTAATTATACGGGGGAATTTATACCAAAATTATGAAAATAAGTGTCGAATTTCCAAGTTAGCGCGATAGTACAAGAAAAAGGAGACTCGTCAATTGACAACGTAAAACAAAAAATTTAAAGTAGACTTCTACAGACTCATAGATGCAGTTTTATGTTTTTGGATGAAAGATATGAATTAACAAATAACGAAGCCAGATATTCATGTTCTTTGGTGTGTTTTTTCGCAATAAAATAAATATTGTGGAAATGGACGATGAGGCACTTATTAAACAGTGCATGTATTTACAGATTAATCTCAGTAGTTCATGTGCAACTGAAAGTGAAGGATGTATATAAAAATGTGTCAACCACATGATATCTGCTAAATACAGTGCCTAAGAGGCCTTACACTCAATACCAACAATGTAACAACAGTTCTCGTCAACTTACATTTTATACAAAATTCTATAACTTTTAGCTTTCTTTAAATTAGAGGTATTATATTTCCTGATATTGACGCTATTGAACTTGTTAGTGAACTGCGAAGCCTCCACCAGATGATGAAAAATGCTGAATGTAAAACTAGTCTGAACGTTTTACAATATATATATAACTGATAAACACACATGAATGGCGCTACGACTTGCTAGCATAGATTAAACAAAACCAAAAAAAAAAACCGATGATGATTAATGTCTTTTTAAGATTAACAATAAGTCATGAAAGACTTAGTGAAATGGCGACTATACAAATGACAGAGCTGGATGTTTGCAAGAAAGTGAACTATTATGAGGTCATTGACATTTTCCCTGAAATATAAGTTTAAAAAGTCACCTTTCGTTAAGTTAAAAAAATTCGTCGACTTCAAGCATTTTATTTCCAAAAAAGTTATTTTTCTAATTTTTATTCATTAATCCTCCGATGGGACAATGGTAAGTCTACGGATTTGCACTGCTAAAATCCGGGGTTCGATTCCCCCCTGGTGGACACAGCAGATAACGTAATGTGGCTTAGCTCTAAAAATAATCTAAAATAAACAAACAAAGAAAGTTAATCATTGATCATTGCGTTAGTAGTATATGTTTCAACTATTCTTATTCACCCCTAAAAAACAACAATAAGGTGAGGAGAGTTGAAATGGTGGGGGATCAAAGAAAAAGTTTGCATGAACCCCAGAATACCAAGGCCGGATTTGTTGACTAAGGTACCAAGACACACAGACGCTATATATATATATATATAATTTATATGTTCTTAACACTGCCACGCACATAACCTTAAAGTATTTGAATACTTTTTTAGGAGCAAAATTGGGTTTATTATAAATCGGTAAGCGTCAGATATAAAGATACACAATATCTGACATAAAAACAAGTAATCAAAGATTTTCATATTTCCAGAGAAATGCAATACATTTACATGCATAAAATGCTAATTTATAGGTTTTATTTTCATAGCTTTTTGCTAATCAAAGAACAGCAGATACATATTTTACCGCCATCTACCGAGATGCTTATGTAGTATTTAGTAGTTGAAAATCTTATACACCTCGTATTACCGATAGAATAAAAAAACATTGTTACACTGTGCATTGAAAATCACAAGGATTCGAGTTTCAGCACATACATAAGTATCTATGTACATACATAAAACTCATATTGTTTCATGACGAGTGAAAAAGGAAGGGTAAGAAAAATGAAAAAGAAATACGAAGACAAAAGAAAAAGAACATTTGAAAAAGGCCAGCGAAACAAATTAACCAACCAAAGAAAAATCGGCCTCTTTGGATAAAAAATAATAGAAAAGGCTTAAGAAACAGACCGTTTAAGATTCTCAGGAATAAATACTTATCGTCTTTTAATGTAGTCCTACAGTAAGTTATTTGTTTATCTAGCGCTACCTTGATTTTTCTGTCATCGTTATTGAAAAAGAGCCGCCTACAGTTGTTTCTTCAAATTGTAAGCTTTACTGCTGTAGTATTCTTATTGACCATCAGATGATTGAAAAGACAGGAACCGAATTAATTCACAGCAAAATGAAATGAGATTGGTGGTCTTCACTTGAGCATTTGTTGATTAATAAGGTTGAGGAGAGAGCTCATAAAGTTGTTTTATACGTATAAAATAAAGAGGTACAAGAATAAGTGATTATTCAAACAGTAGAAGTGTTACTGCACCACTGGAGTTGTTTGCCCCTCAGCCAATAACGAACCAATTTCTTAAATCTTGGATTAATACAGTTTTCTGTCAGGCTTCTCACTTTATTAATATCTGATACATTATATACATCGTTAAGTAATACGTGGTTATATCAGAAGATTTTTTTAAGTTTTAAGTGATTACCGCGAAAAATGAAATCATAATTGAATGACAATTGTTGATGTATCATGCAAGACCTTGGAGGTAACTATCCATATTTTCAGTAATTTATTTTCTAAGTTAAAACAGTGAAGACTCAGTAACTTTGGAGTGATGTGGTTAAACGAAACTATACGACAAAGGAACCGCAAAGCAACATATAAAACTATTTTTATTTTTTATTAAGCCAAGCAAAACAGTATGGAAATGAATTTTGTTTGTAATGTACATTTTAATAATTGAAGATAAGATAAACTAGGTAAAAACCCGGATTTCCATGAGAATTAAAAGAATATTATTATTATATATATATATGTGTGTGTGTGTGTGTTTTACCCGGACTTCTGAATTTGAATGAACATCTAATGTTGTTAATGAGGTTCACATTCTTTACATTCACAAGCAATACATTGATTAGGAGCTTAGAAAGAAAATTACATTCATTTGTAAGCTCCAAATCATGTGAGGAGTAAACAAATCATTTAGTGTTACGTCTCTCATCAACTTAGAGCTGACACTTTCTAGTCTACAAAATGTAAATACACAGCCCACAGAACATACTGCTGATCAGTGGTTTCCAAGTTCATATATTACGTGAGTTAATACGCCACACGTCAGACACCGTACAGAAAGTTTTCAATAGTGAAGATTAGAGCTGCAAATAATTCTGTCCTCAGAAATTCAGTAAACCGATACAGTAATAACCACGATTTTAGGTCTGACATAAAACAGAGATTAGACCTATTTTACACTATATATATGTTAAACTGATCCTGGCGAAAAGACATTTGGGCCTCTTGGAGAATGCGCATGCGTGGTCCCATTGGAATACCAATCTTCTGTAATCGCTCCTCTGTGAGGTAAGGGAGCTCCATTATACCAATCTTTTCTCCTTCAAAACTAGCAGCATATTTCTGGAAAGAGAAAAAAAAGTCATACGTTTTCTGAAGTAGAACATCTTTCATGACATTAAGCAATCTTTAATTTATTGATAAGCTACTTCTGTCCTATATGCAGTGTGTCCCAAAAGTCGATTGCCATAGACTTAAATGTCCCTTCGTTTACAGAATATGCTCAAATCTATCACCATCAAAAATCATTACAGTATTACAGACGTTCAATTCAATATCACCTCCAGTCGTTCATTAATGCTCAGTGTCATCATCTAAAAAAATATGCAAAGAAGCGAGACAAGCAGTGTTAATTTTCCTAACATTCCAATGACAACCGACTTTTGGGACACCTTGTATGTAAAATAATTACGTTAATTTCATTGTTACTAATGTACAATAATCTATTAAAATACTAATCATGTTGCTAAGATATAAAGATAATAATATTAAGACAAGCCTTTACTGTCATATCTAATCATGTACGTTATTTTGACATAATATTTCAAGATATGCCGAATCGTATTCTGAACAACTAAAAATTAGTTAATTTCAGAAACAGCTTTTTCTTGGTCTTTAAAAAAGCTTCTTTAATACGAAAAAGTTTTCATTCTCTTCTACAACGATGCTCTTAAAATCTATCTGTTGCAATACATTTATTTTATATAAATACAAGTTGTACAGTCAATCAGAATCTGTTTAACATAATACAATAATTCTAGTAATTTTCAATTTTATACTTTAATATTTATTTTACATTATGTCCATTTGAAGTTATATTAGAACCACTATTGACACTACAGTAGGTTAGTGCAATAAATAAATAAAAAAAAACAAAGGATCGTCAACACTGGTTGTAGAAATATACAACTAACAAGTAACAGTAGAACGTTGTAATTCGTGATTGACTTGACTACTTAGGCTTATAGAAATTAAAATATTTATTTAGCTGAAAGCAGAGAAAAGCAAAAAACATACTCCTGTAAAAAAAAGTCAGATTTTGGAACACCCAGTGCACCTAGAGATAAAACAGTTTGAAGCCTTGTAATATTGGATACAAATGAAATGAGTAAACCCTATATACACATATATTTTATATGTATTTACTATTTGTTATATTTATATATATATAACAAGGTACAACCAAAGATGTCATTATGATTAATAAGGCTAATGGTCGAAAACAACTCAATAAACACACTTTTTGAAATTCAGATTTGATTTAATCTACGTAGAAAAAACTTATAAATTAACACACGTGCGAATCATGAATAACAACACAATAACAAGGAGAGTTTTAGACGCCTAGAGTTACAAGAGTTCAAAATCTCTTAATTTAACTAACGTACATAACTACACAGGATTTTAGGTTCTGGTATAAGACTTAAAATACGTATATAAACAGGACACAATTTTCAGCTCACCAGGTGGGGGCCATAGAGCATATATTTGAAAGTCATTAATTATAGCTATCTGTGTCCATATAGATACGATACATATATGAAACATAGCACATTACCTAACCCTGAACGTCAGGCTATTTTTTGTGAAAATTATGGTTTTCACTAATAGAAGGCGAGAGGTCTTAAAATAATTAATCATTCTAATTTGAATCAGCTGAGACTATTCTGTAAATATTCAAACTCTGTCATTTTTACCAAGGACTACTGGTAGGTGGATTTTTGGTTTAACTGTTAGGAGAACTACAAATAAACAATATTGAAACTATATAATTTAAACTCGGACGCAATACAAAATTTTGTACACCTCATTTCCAATAACGAAATGTTTGAATTTAAATAACTTTAAATCTCAAAATAGCATGAAATCACACGAAAATAAAATACTTTTATACTAAACAAATAAAACAAGCAATTTCACAAATTTGGGAGTGAAACTCTCAGATTTTACCCTTTTATAAATAGAACAGAGCATATCAATATTCAGATATGTTCGTGAATATTTTTGAACATTTTCGTCCAAGTGTTAACGTTAACTGGATGTAAGTAGTCATGAACTTGCTCTCTTCTCAAGCTAAGATTACATACCATTCTGTTGGTATTAACAGATAATGAATGTGATACATTAGAAGTAACTTTCTGGTTACTACTATTGTAGCCACTACTCAGTTCTAATATACGTTGGATTAATCACTTGAAGCTTTTAGCTTATAATATAAATTGAGGTCTCTACTTATTATTTGGACAGTACAAACATCGGATGTAACAAAAAAACAAAAAACAATACGGTACCAAAGTTCCAGATAGAATGAGTCATTCAGGTAGAAACAGAAACCTTCCAAACAACAGAAATAAACAAAAAACTTTCATGACAGTTACTAAAATGACTTGCGTGAAATGTTTAAAAAAGAAAAGAAAATGAAGCGATTTTTGAAAGTTAAGGCTTAAGAGCCGAAAGATGGCGAAGAATTGGAAATCAACAGGTCTGGCTATAGATTTCTTCATTAGGAATTAAATCCAAGTAAACAGTTATAAAACTCAACTGAAGATCGACTTTCAAATTATTTTTCAATTCAAACTGTTAGATAGTGTGTGATATTATTAATAAACGTTTCAATTAATGTTTCTCTGAAGCATAAAATGAAGAACATAAAGCTGAAACAAATATATTTAAAAATTACGTACTTTCCGTTTTCATATAACTCAAGATAAAATTCGAACGAGGTTTGACGCTCCTCAAACTGTGATCGTGGATGTAGTGAATAATAACAGCATTCAAAATATTATCGAACACTACACAGGTAGCGTCCATGAAACAGAAATGAAATACTTTACTAAATCACGTACAGTACACTGCACAAGTAAAGGATAATTAGGGTTAGCAACACTGTAGTCACGACAAGGCAAAACCAGTTCTTTGTCATGCAAGTGAGGCATGTTATGATCAGTCCTGTGATCTGGTATGCAATTGACTAGTCATTCATCTTTTTACTATATACATATATATATATATATGTGTGTGTGTGTGTATGTGTGCATAGTGGTCTTATACAACATTGTCTTAAATATCATTTTGAAGTGGATCACTGGGTGAAAGTACTTCAAATTGTTCGTAAGCCATGATTAGCCCTGAGAGAAAACATCGGTGTGTCTATTTATTTATAGAGTCATTGTACAAAAAGAAGCTGGATAATTATAACAGGCTGTGTGTAGTGAATTGGCAACTACTGTTTCAAAACGTTAGTAGAATCTGGAACTACTGTTTCAAAACGTTAGTAGAATCTGGAACTACTGTAAAATTAATGGTACACTTTCTAGGACACCTGGACAAGTCAGCCAATTATCTACAACATAAGCTAATAATTGCTTTTTGTCGATTTTGGTGTGCTACAATTGATCTGAGTCATTTGCTCGCACCCATAATTGTACGCCTTACCTGTGTAGATATAGCTGGAAAGTATTAATGAGGCCAGCATGTATGTATTAAGCCTTTATTTAGCAACATTCCGCTTATAGTGGATTATAAAACATTTATTTGCAATAATGTCTAGAACATATTTTGTGGACCAACAACACGTGGAAGAACGTTTTTTTTTTTACAGAAAACTCGTGCTTTACCCTGCAGCCAGATAACAGACATATACATATATATATATATATGTGTGTGTGTTTTTGGAGAGGGTATGGAACTAGTTATAATCCTATATCCATACAAGAATGTGACACATATCACAATGGTGGAAGAAAGATGCAGATAGGAATAAGCACTGGTGGACATATTGACCTCTACCTTCTGCAGAATAGTACCATTAACGTTACACGTTGTAAGGATTACATCCTATGATCCTTAGGATCTGGTTGCCATCTGCTCTGCAATTGGCCTTGATTTTAGCCTAAGTGACGATAATGTCTCTCCAATCAGTCGAAAAATTCATTTTAAAATAGAGAATGGACCAAATGAAGTGATCTTTATGCTCTCCAGATTTAAACCTCTAGCATGTACGGGAAGCTTTGAAGGACATGTCACATTCTGTCAAGTGGCTCCAGACACTAAAGATGCCTATGCAATAGTTTATTCAGATGGGTGGTCGATGACACCTCAGTATCTTAACAACATTGATTTTAACATGCGACATTAGTATGAGGCTACATTTCCCGTGAGTAGTAACCAAAGTCCATATTGTAGTATGAGGTCATTAACTGTAAAGCCACACCCACCAAAATGTCTACTTATCACTTAAAGCGCTGAATGACTAACCAATTTCATTTCAGGTCACATGAAAGATCATAAGATGGCTGATTTACATAAAACTTAAATGAGGGGGATGACTATATTATAGTAGTGATTTTGTCTTGTCATGGCTGTAGCACGTGATGGTTATAAAGTCAGAATAGATATTAACAACAATCTCTGTGTAAAACTTTATAACATAAATCAATATGTTTTGAATACGTACATAAAAGATCACAGTTATGAATTACAGTGAGTTTTCTACAATAATAATATATCAGCAATTCAACGTCGCCACTATCATTTTCGATAACTACATTCATTATGACGATAACATTATATATTAAAGCATGTTCTTCCCTGGAATTGCCCATTCTTTGTCGTCATTACATCGTTCACTTGAGGAATAGTTTATTGGACATGGTGACAGGCCCAGATCTTGAGAAAGCCACATAACTAGCAATCATGAAGGGTCAGGTCATGAGATCGTGTTGGTAAGGCATGGCAAAATTTGCGGCTGAGAACCATGTCCGCCCTCATTAAGTGTCTGCCTGAGCAAAGTTTTTATTGGTTGTGAACATGAAGCAAAGACGACATCATATGTAATCCTGAATACATCCACGTTGTTGAAGTTCTGACATAAAACTAGTGTGCAATAGCTCATGCCGTCCCTTCACTTTACAAGTTTCCAAGTCCCAGAATGTTCAGTTACTCGTGGATTTTCATTGGCTCAGATGCACATGATCACGAAGAGTGAAATAGGCCTCATTTCTCCATAGGATATACCACAGGAGGGTTAATGAAATGCAACACGTACTACGAACTCCAAACATTTTTTTGGGGTGGGGGGATTCACAGTCGTATAGTTTTAACGCCTGAATACACAGATGGTGTAGGGGAAATATGGAGATAATGTACAAAGTTCTCCTTACGTTAAACCAGTCCAATACGTCAGAATCTGGACACTGCTTGCACCTTGGATAGATCCTGCAGGAAGGATTTCAGTGGTTTGTAGTATCTTTGCAACAATATTCACTGATGTTTATGGACATTGCTTGCACCTTGGGTAGATCCTGCAGGAAGAATTTCAATGGTTTGTAGTGTCTTTGCAACAATATTCATTGATGTTTATGGACACTGCTTGCACCTTGGATAGATCCTGCAGGAAGGATTTAAGTGGTTTGTAGTATCTTTGCAACAATATTCACTGATATTTATAGACACTGCTTGCACCTTGGATAGATCCTGCAGGAAGGATTTCAATGGTTTGTAGTATCTTTGCAACAATATTCACTGATGTTTATGGACATTGCTTGCACCTTGGGTAGATCCTGCAGGAAGGATTTCAATGGTTTGTAGTATCTTTGCAACAGTATTCACTGATATTTATGGACACTGCTTGCACCTTGGATAGATCCTGCAGGAAGGATTTCAGTGGTTTGTAGTATGTGACGGATTTACTATTATATATCTATTTTAATATCGATGTTTGTTTAAGTTAAATTTACATTTAAAAATGTACATAACTTATACTGTTAAATCTGTATTGCGAAATTCCCGCCTATTCTCTAAAATTGTAGAAAAGTCTCGAGTGTTAGAATCAATAATATAGCACACCAACTATAGCAAACTAATAATATATACTGTCTTTGGCGCGTCACGTTGGTTATATTTATAGGCGTGAAGAGAGTTCCTCGAAAGTTCAGCTTACGCAACAATATAAACGATACACCAATGTTTACTTACACACATATGTTGTTGATTCTAACACTCGATAACTTTCTATAATTTTAGAGAATAGGCGGGAATTTCGCAATACATATTTAACAGTATAAGTTATGTACATGTTTAAATATAAATTTAACTTAAACAAACATCGATATTAATATATATATATAGATAATAATAATAAATCCGTCACAAATATCTTTGCAACAGTGTCTACTAATGTTTATGGACATTCTCACCTTGGACGATTGCAAATACTCTCTGTCTCTTGGAACTTTTTAACTAATCCGTTGACAGAAAACGTTTTGCATGAGCCAATCTTGTAATGGTTCTGTAGCAGTATATTCGGAGTGCTGACTTGGAATTGTAGCTAACATAATAAATTGTTCCAGATTGAACAATGTACTGTGTTTTCCACTGTTAGCAGTAAAATAACGGCTGTATTTATGTAAACAATGCCATTTCCAACGATATGCAAAATCCTAATTCCTTTTGAGGGATAAAAAAATATTTCGCCAGTATGTTACACATTTCGACATAAAGATCATTTTAAATATCCATACTAACTTAACTTTACAACCACGTTTTACACTAACTATCAACTAAACTTTTAATTGTTTTCCAGTGCCTTTCATAGTAATTTCTATAATTACACACAGTGGATTCATCAGATTTATGAAATACTTATCATAAAATATATTAATTATACACGATGAAAATAAGACCTGAAAATCCACAACAGTTGATACTTGTTATTCATTGTATTTACACAGTTGAATTTGGTTCACAAACCGCAAGTTCTTAAAACATGCAAAACTTCACTGCGTATGCATCACCGATCTTAGTGTGCTGATCATTTTCCAAGGTGGGCTGATCTTGTTCCAAAGTACAGCGTTAACCCGATCTAAAGCTAATTTGATGGGCTGATCTTCTTCCAAAGTACAGCGTTAACCTGATCTAAAGCTAATTTGATGATTGATCTCAGTGGGCTGATCTTGATCGAAAGTTTAGTGCTGAAATGGTCTAAAGTTGGTTTGATCACCGACTTCGGTGGAATGATCTTGTTCCAAAGTACCTGTCTCTAAAGCTAGTTTGATGATCGATCTCAGTGGGCTGATCTTGATCGAAAGTTTAGTGCTGAAATGGTCTAATGTTGGTTTGATCACCGACTTCGGTGGAATGATCTTGTTCCAAAGTACCTGTCTCTAAAGCTAGTTTGATGATCGATCTCAGTGGGCTCATCTTGATCGAAAGCTTAGTGCTAAATTGGTCTAATACCAAAACAACGCCTCCTCTTTTTTTAACAGGTAGCTGCAGTCAGCTAAAGTTGTCAAACCTACCAGCTTGATTATCAGCTATTCAGATCTGGGGTAATCCATATTATGTCATAAAAAGTTCGAAAAGTTTTTAACTAAAAAAAAACATTCAACATAACATTCGTTCACAGTTTTTTGTTGACAACATTTTGTGCTATAAAAAGACAATAAACTCTAATTAAAGCTAACAACCATAAAACAAAAATGGCGTCTAAAAGGTATCTCTATTTGCGGAATTAGCTTTGATTTAATTTAAGAAATGTATTATTATCTACCAGCTGAATATTTCAAACCTACCTCGTAACCAAGTTTTTTCAGAAACTGCCGGAGTAAAGGGGGCTCATCTCCAAAAAACCTGGAAGAAAATATAAAGTTTTGTTATGTAGTATAGTTATTCCCAATAGGATGTGATTGGATCTGTCTTTTACGACATTTGTATTATTGTCTGAGAAAATCTTACCTTTCATACCAATTTGAAATGCGTCAAACACACAGATACAAGGCTATAGACAAATATCTCAAGATGTGTTAACTGTCGATATATCCGACAAGTGAAGGACAGGATAGTAAATATAAAACATATTTGCGAAATTCCTAATCAGTTGCTCATTGGATGACGCCACGGTAACACCATATATGTTTGTTGTTGTTGTTTTACTTATTCTATAAGTACGTGAATTATGTAAAACAAGTAAAAATATTTTTTTGTACTTACAGTAATGAAAAATACGGTAGTTTTATTCGAATTCTAAGCAGCGTTCACATTATAAAACTGATATTTCTTATGCATTGGTCATGTATTGATAGGGTCAGACACAGCTTCGTGGTTAGTTTGGCTGAGGGTTCATTATTCACGTCCCGTTATCGTAAACACATGCTCCTCACTTTGAAGGTGTGTGCGCGCTATAAGAATGATTGTCAAATCTCACTATTCGGTCAGACAAGAGTTACCCAAGAGTTTGGTGGATACTGTCCACTAGCTGCCTTTCATCTAGTCTTTTAATTAAAAATTAAAAATAGGTTTGCGGAGATAGCACTTGGATGACTTTGCGCAAACAAATTCTTAAACAGAACACATTTAATAATTAAAATGAACAAGTTTCGTTCATGAAAAGTCTTAGCATAGAGTCCAAAACCGTGTTTCTCGTCAACAACCAAGTCAGGTGCAGCATATAGAACCTCCTAGTCCTACGTTTCATTGATTCCTTTTTCTGCAACTATGGTTGTTCTTGTAAAACATTTTGTTTTCTATATCTGCCTTTACAAAATCAAAGTTAATAAATTTTAAATACAGTCGTATATGGAAATGTTGTTACCTTATTAACAACAAAACTTCTGATGGAAATCCTACTAATGAATATTTTTACTCGAACTTTCCGAATTAATAGTAATCTGTCAACCCAATTTAATGACACTTAAATGGAGAATAACTGCATCGTAAAAAAAATGTCTGAAGAGTAACAAGATACAAAATAAATTATTAAACAATTATGGATAGGCGCGGCCATGTAGTTAACGTTTCGGGCTCTGTATCTAAAGTTCCGTGTTTCGTACCGATTTAACAAAAAAATAAAAATTGCGTTCCACATTTTTGGGCTGTGCGTTATAAAAGTGACGGTCAAATCCCATTCTTCGATTACAGTAGCCCAAGAGTTGGCAGTGGGTCGTGTTGAATAGCTGCCTTCTCCATGGGCGTCCACAGAAATTTTGCCAGGGGGCAAAGTCTAAAGCAACATTATATATATATATACTGAATGAATAAAGAAAGAAATATGTTTATCACTTTCCAGGAAGGCAAGTACCCTCCTGCGGATGCCCATTGCCTTCCCTCTAGTTTATCACTTCAACATTAAGGATGGCTAACGCAGCTATCCGTCGCGTAGCTTTGCACGAAATTAAGCAAAACGAACTAAATATATATGCTTACTTTGTTAGTTTTTGTATCCTGCCGGGATTGTTCAGCTCTAGAAAATCACGACGGAACTTCTCCCTCTCTCGGCTGTGCTGCCCTCTACTAGCACGTGCTCCTGGATAATTACTGACAACGTTTCCAGCAGATAATTCAATGGTACGTAACTGTTCCTGTAACCAGTTAACATCCTGCCGCAGTGCTTCCAGCTCCTGCACTAAGACCTGTTGAGTACGCATCTCGGACGACAGATGCGCCACGCTGCGAGCTAAAGTTACAACGTGCGACTCTAGCCTCTGTAACCTTTTGTTAGGTGCGCTAAAAAAATATAAATACAGATATTTATTTCAATGCATTACTTTAATTTTCTTGAAACACATAAAACTATATAATAAAATTATTTTTTTCAGTGATTGACTTAAGTATCTTACACATAAGAAGAAATGCGATGGTGATTAAAACTGGAGAATAAATATGCAGGAAAATATAATTCAATTTAATATAATTTTTATTAATTAACATTTGGTTTGTTTGTTTGTTTTTAATTACGCACAAAGCTACACAAGGACTATCTGTGCTCTGCCCATCACGGGTATCGAAACTCGGTTTCTAGCGTTGTAAGTCCGCAGACATACCGCTGTGTCACTGGGGGGCAATTAACATTTGGAACAAACACTATCCAGTCTTGGCTAAGCCTATTGACACAATAATGACTACATAAATCGCTCTGTGTGTGTGATACATTGTCCGAGAAAAATCACGAAACGTCAACAATACAGCCACGTAGAACACAACAATGCTAACAGAAAAGAAAACTACATGAGATAAGTTATTATCAATAGTTGAAGAAAAAAAACAATATAATAAATAAAAGCTTATATATATATATATTATTATAATCAGACGCATATGTAAACATTATATTACAAATCAACAACTACGCACATTTCATCTAAATTTTCCTAATCCCATCGAGAGAGACAAGTCAAAATCTCTACTAAAAAGACTAATTGGATTACACAGTAATAACGATTATTGTCAATATAAAACTAATCAAATGAATATACTTTTGCGAAACAAAGTTTTCCGTTTTTCTTGCTTCACCATGGCAAAAAATATATATATATATATATATATATA